ATTATGGTCGTGTCACGAAAATTCATGCTTGAACAAACTAAAATAAAAAATCAAATGAAATTTACCTCATCCCACACATGCACCCAGTACATGTGGTTAACCTCTACAAAGCCTGAACCAGGACGCAAGAGGATGCCTGGAATCCACAGGAAAGCAGAAAATTCATCGAAATAATTTTTGAGCCGCTGAATCTTTTTCCAGACTTGGCAATAGTATACTCCCTCTTCAATGCATGACTCAGCATTTGGTTCAGTGAACTTGAAATTTCTGTCCACAAGGAATTAAACACAGGGGCTTGGTGTATGTCTGCCTTCTGACGACACTTTTTGAAAAACAATCGGTAGCAAATATCTTCCTCATCCTCTGTCCTGTCCACGCCACGGAAGCGGATCGCGATCTTTTCATAGGGTGAAATCGTTTCTATTTTTTTTCGCAAGCGTGCGCCTCCTTGGGTTTTTTTTTTTTTTTTGCTTGATTTAGAGAAATGAAAGGTTAATTGTTCAACAAAGAGAATGAAAAGTTAATATTTACATATAGCATTTAAAACTAGGTAGATATACATCAACTCGACAACTCAATGAGGAAGCATGCAAATCGTCACAGTCTTTTACGTGTAAGAGCAGACAATCAATCAATGCGGTGCGTAACTTATGCGAATAATATGCGAAGAACTTTCGATTTGGATATGCAGTGCAGACAATCAATCCATATGTATATGCGAAAAAAATGGCGGATAGTCGCAAATTATGCGGCTTTCGATTTGGATATACGATTCGTTAATTATGCTGTTGAAGACTAGGCGAATGAACCTGCGAATCAACCCAGTTGTGCGATTATTATGGGATATGATATAGGAATTGCACCTGCGAATCAAGTCAGTTGTGCGATTATTATGGGACATGATATGGGAATCGCACAATCAACCCAATTGTGCGATTATTATGGGACATGTTATGCGAATCGCGCAATCAACCCAGTTTCACTACTTTCTGTAGTCAATTGTGTGTGTGCAGATCACAACTTAGGGTACCAGCACAGTATTTTTCCCGTTAAAAGTATTTTTTCTGTTAAATTGCTTTACCAATTAAAAACTCCAATGAGGTACATAACATTACATAACGTCTCCATCTTCATCTAAATTGTCATGGAATGGACGTGATGGACAAGATGACGATTTGTGACCTGTTTCTTTACAAGTACGACATCTCCTCGGGCGTCTCGATATTGTTCTTGGATGAGGAGTTGGTGCGTTTTGACCTTCTTCATTTGAAAAAAAAGCCATTAACACCATCGTATAGAGGGCACTTCGCCCTGTTATGCCCGGTGACCCCGCACCGAGAGCACATCTGCTGACGCCGTACTCGACGTGATGATCCTTCATCAGCGCCCCGAGGATATCCAGTATGTGTAAATGAACTAGGGCCTGCTTGATATGAATATGGGGCCTCGTGGGAAAATGCAAAACTACCAACACTAAAAAAACTAGGAAATACACTTTGGGACGCCATCATTTGCGTGAAGCTTTGTTGCGCCGTCCACGGAATCCCTACATTTACTCACTTCTCCAACTCCAGGTAAATGTTGGGATTTCCTTTTTCTTTAATCAGCTCTAAGATATCGTCACTGGATTCGATTTTCATCTTCACAGCTCGTTCCCTTCCATCAAATACTGCCCACAATATGTACTCAAAATTACAAGGATTGGCTGCTTGAGCACGAGAAACTACTTCAGAATACATTTGTCAGCCGTAATTTATTCTCATCAACTCTGTCACTCCACCAAGATATGAACCCCCGAAAAACGAACCACCATAGTGCAGGAATACTTTAACATGGTTGCTAGCCATTCAAATAATTGAACAACAAAAACAATTAAAACGAAAGAAACAGAAAAATGCAGTAGATGAATGGTGCAAAGTGCAGACGTTAAATTGTTAGAGATCACTGTTTTTTTGCCTGCATGATAAATGCAGAGACAAAATCCTCACCTGTGAAAAAGCAGTCAATTTAATGAGGTGCGTAACTTATGCCACAGATATGTGAAAAAATTCCGAATAGTCGTAAAATTGCAAGGTCGATATGACCCTGCGAAAAAATGGCGCATAATTGTCAAATAACTTATGCTTTATTCGAATTGGTTATGCGATTCTTAAATATGCGACCGAAAAAATATCGCATAATTGTCAATTATCCGACGTTATACTGGATGTATGCAAAAGTTTTTCGCATATTAGTAAATTATGTGATTGACTTGGATATGCAAATACTAAAAAATGCAAAGTCAACAAATTATGCGAATATGCGAAACATTTCGCATAGTCATAAATTTGCAAGGTCGATATAGCCCTGCAAAAAGAAGGCTCATAATCATCGTAAATTATGCTGCATTCGATTTGGATATGCGATTCTTAAAAATGTGAAAGATGTTCGCATATTTGTAAATTATGCGTTTGATTTGGATATGCGATCCCTAAATATGCGAAATGTTTTCACATAGTTATAAATTAAGCGTCGGTTGGATATGCGCTAGTTCATTTGGACATGCGAGTGTAATATCGCCTAGCATTTCGTGAATTTTGGGGTGTAAAAGAAGTTATTTGACGGGGTGATGTGTAAAAGAAAGAATAGATATATAACAGGGTGAAAAAGGTTTTGACCTAAAGAGAATTGTATTGAGGAGTGCAGGAAAAAAAAAAAACAATTTAGAAACTGAACTTGGAGTTGATTAGTGATGTGTTTGTATACAAATATATCCGCTCAAATTGAGTTTTTATGGTTAACCTTGGTTAATTTTTAAAAGGGTTTATTGCACGAAATCCCCCTGTATTATATGAAATCTGCACGTTTTTCCCTGGTATTTTAAAAATTGCGTCAAACCCCCTCGTATTTCATATTTGCATGCACACTCGCTATTTCTAGTTAACGCCGTTACTTTAAAGCTGACGGCGTTACTTTTTCATTGAATTTACCTTTATACCCTTACTTTAACATTGAATTTACTATTTTACTCTTAATGTTAATATATTGACCTAAAAGAAAAATGCCAATTGTGGGGATTGAACCCACCACCTTTAGGTTGTAAAAGACAACTCTTACCAATTGGGCTGCTATTCACTTAGTTATAAATGTAATTTTATCTATATATATCAAACAGTATAGTGGAAATATCATATAATTAAGTATATAGATTCTAAATTATAAATGTCATTATAATTAATTATATAGATTCTAAATTATGAATAATATAATAATTAATTATATAGATTCTATATAATGTAATAATTAAGTATATAGACTCTAAGTTATAAATAATATAACCATTAAGTATATAGATTATAAATTATAAATAATGCAATAATTAAGTAAATATTTTCTAATTTATAAATAATATAATAATTAAATAAATATATTCTAAATTAAAATAATATAATAATTCGTTATATATATAAATAATACAACGATGAAATAAATATATTTTAAATTATAAATAATATAATGATTGAATAAATAGATTATAAATTCAAAATAAAATAATTATTAAATAAATATAAATATATAATAAGTAATATATTGATTCAGTAAATATAATATAAAATATAAATGATATAATAATTAATAAAATATATTATAAATTCTAAATAATATAATAAGTAAATGAATAAATTTCAAAATAATGAATAAATAGATTCTAAAGTATAAATAATATAATAATTGAATAAATTATATTCTAAAGTATAATGATAATTATAAATCATAAATAATATAGTAATTCAGTATATAGATTTTATGATAATTGAATGAATAGATTCTAAAATAGAAATAATATAAATAATTAACTAAGTATGTTCTAAATTATAAATAATATAATGATAATTATAACTTATGAGTAATATAACAATTCACTATATATTTTTTTATAATAATTGAGTAAATAGATTCTAAATTATAAATAATATATTCTAACCTATTTACTCAATTATTATAAAACAAATTATTGAATTAATATATTACTTATAGTTTATAATTATAATTATATCTCATAAAAAAGGATACTTGATATTTTAATTAATAGTGTTTTACATAATGAATAGTATTTTTTATTTATTATACATTTACCTGAATTTAAAATAAACATAATGAATAAACAATAAGTACTTAAATTATTTATTACAAATTCAAAAATAATAATTTTATTGAAAAAATTAAATATATATATTTGTCGAACATTTAAAAATAATAATACAATATAACAACTAAATAAAAAAATAAATACAAATCATATGTAGCTATTGCATAGAAAATATTTTATTTACAAATTACTACTTTCATAATATATTATATATAGAAGTATAATTTTATTTTATTATAAATAAATTTTATTTTATTTTATTTATTTTTATTAATATAATTCAATATAAAAATGTATATTTAAATTTAATTTTATAATTTATTTCATATTTATATTTTTTAATTTTTTATATGAATTTATCTTTTTGTTTTTATATTAAATAGTAGTATAATTATATATTATTTTCAAATTTTACATTAAATTTTATTCAATTTAATTTTTATTTTATTTTATTTTTATTATATTTTCTTATATTACTTTATTTAGTGTTTATTTTATTAGTGGGAGTTTAAGTTTATATTAAAATAATATTTAAAATAAAATAATTAAATTTGATTTGATCTAAAAGTAGGAGAGAGATAATGTGAAGTGATGGGTTAAATAAAATTATGTAAGTGGGTGAATAGTAAATTAAAATTGATGTGATGTATAAGAATGATTGATTGATATTATTTAATTATATTTATAAAATAATTGATTTAATATTTTTTAATTATATTAATAATATTGATGAAAATAGAGTTAAGCTAAATTTTGAGTATGAATTGATTTATTTTATATACAAACACACCACGATTTAGTTAAAAATTGCTGTTATATAACGTGAAGAAAAAGAAAAATTATTTCGTAACATAAAGCTTAGAATTAGTTGCTCAAAAAGAACCGAGAAGCTTTTTAATAATGGTTGTCAGTCACAGACCCCGCACTTGCACACTGACTGCGCGTAGGAACCCGCCATATATGGTAGAAGAGAACAGTCGGAGCTCTGAATGTTTACAGGGAACAGAGGATGATGAGCATTTGGACCCAGTGAAAGGAGGAGAAGATCAAGATGATTAATATGGCGAATAATTGTGAAAAGGAGCGAGTGAGTAGTGAAAGCATGAGTGATTGTACCATTGGGAGCAGCTCAAGAAAAGAATCGAAAACTTCTGAATTGGAAACCCTAACCTCCGTACAGCTCTCTGAGGCTGCTTTAGCTGATTTTGATGAATCCTCTCACCTTTTGTCAGGTAGCTCTAATAAGTTCCATCCTTCGTTCTCTTCTTCTTCTCCTCCTTTTTTTTTTTTGAAAAAAAAAATTAATCGGCCTTCAGTTGTACAGAGCTGAAGTACATTTAATAAATAAATCTCACTCGTAGATATTTGTAATGGGCATATTTGCATGTTCATCTACGGTAAAGAATTATGGAGAAGATATGTTGTGCTGATTTTGTTGAACTTTGATTGTGGCAGAGGTTCCGGTGGAGTACTCTCTGCAACCAATACAATCAGCTGAACAGTTGAAGGTTGGAATTTTACTTGTACGCATACAAAAGTTTTTGGATTTTGCTTGGATTGTTCTAAGTTCTTACTGTCCATTGTAAAACTTGAAAGATGAAAATGGCCCACCCTTTTCTAATTGCTGACTTTATTTTTTGGTTGACCTGAAGAAACTGGACTTCATCTGTTAGCATTGTTGTTTCATATGTATGGCCCTATGCTTTATAGAAATTGGGTTGGAATGGAGAAAGGAGTGATAGTATTCTTGGACTTTTAGTTTCGTTAGATGAGAGAATATATTCAAATTGGATTTTCTGATTTTGCATGTTTTTGTATTGCATTGTTCCAACACTAAATTGGAGCGGTTTATCCAATTTCGTCGAGCCAATATAAAGTAGGACATATTTTCTTTTAGTACCACAAGGATTTCTGACTGTAGAACTTGAATCCACAGCTGCAAAGATGTATGATAGGACATCGGTAATGGGATAGCCTTTATATCATATGCAGCTCCACATTCAGGACGATTGTTGTGTGAATGTGTGAAAACTCAATGCAGCCATGCATTGAGGATAAGCTAAAGAACTAATGCATGAATATTGTAGTAACTAGTAAATTAATGAATCATATGTACAGACTTCAAAAACAATCTTGCACGGTGTTTGCTTTCACAACAATGCTGACTACAACTTAACATGCTGTTGGTCACACTACTGGATGAAGATATGTGCTCTTGTTTAGTATTATGCTTTTGAAGGAACAACACTAACTGTGTATTTCTGATGAAATCGCTTCAAATTGGCATTATTTTCCCCTCAATTATGTTTATTATTACCTCAGGAACAAGCAAAAACAGTGTATGGCCAATCTCTTAAAAGTGTTCCTGGCACATTTTTAGAGGTTCAGAAACCTGTACCTAATGCTACCTCCAAGCTGGAAGTGTCACCTGCATCTGTTACAAAGTCTGTTTGCTCCATTCCAAATTTGCTTGTAGTAAAGAATGGGAACAATAAATGCTTAACAGAACAGGACAAGCAGAATTTTCCGGGCCCCAAGCTTTCATCTAGAAGGGCTGTCCAAAAAATTTCTGATGGGTACAATTGGCGCAAGTACGGTCAGAAGCTAGTGAAGAGTCCGGAAGGTTCTCGGAGCTATTACAGATGCACGTTCTTCGACTGTTACGCCAAGAAGATCGAGTTTTGTGATTCTTCTCGCCGTCTCATAGAGACAGTTTACAGAAGCCAGCACAATCATGATCCTCTTCAGAAATTAAACTGCACAAATGAAAGTGTACCCGCGTTACCAGTTGGTCCAGTTAGTGGGGATAATGATTCATTTCGTCCAGTGATATGTTCGAATGACCCAGTGAAAGATAATAAGCTGAAACAATCTATGCCAGGAACTAATGAGATGCCTGAGAAAAAGCATGAGTCGAGCGATTCTGATGAGACCACAGAAGCCAACATGGAGGAGTATATTGATGAAGCAGAATGTCGAAAAAGGCATGTAAATAGCTATGCATATGTTTAACCATTTCATAATTGTGATATTTCCATATTGAGTGCTATTGCGGATATTTCTAATACTTTTCATCTATAAAATATTAAGGCAGGAGAGAAATTCTGCTGGTGATATGGAGTCTCCGTCTAAATCTGGAAAGAAACCCAAATATGTTGTTCACGCAGCTGGTGACATGGGAATATCAGGAGATGGTTACAGATGGCGCAAGTATGGACAGAAGACGGTGAAGGGTAATCCTCATCCAAGGTAAATTTCCAGTGCACTGTGTTACAAATCAGTGCTACCTCATTGGTTAACTTTGTTAAAACCACTGCTCTGGCTTGACCGTGCTTTTGTAGGAGTTACCAAAGACTTACTGTTATCATATAGCTATGGTGACAGCTCTAAATGGCTGTTAATTATTTCTTAGTAGTCTGTCTAGGTTCCAGCTATGTATATCTATGTGGTTCTCTTATGATCACTTACTACCTTGGGGATATTTTGTTTTTCTATACTTAAGGTCTATGTTTAACCCATAAAAAATGGTAACTTTTATACCCTGATTGCCAAGTGTTGGATTGATAACTAATTACATCACTTGCCACCCATATCTCAATTATGGAAATATCCAATAACCATGCTAGAGAAGTTGCGTTCTCTACCATACGGAACTTTTATTGTCAGAACTCCTTGTGAAAATTGCAAATTACAAATCGAATGCCCTATAAAATAAAAGATGAATAGAGTCAAATTGAGAAAGTATGATTGCTGTTGCCTAATTGAAGGAAGTTTTTTCTCTTATATCGAAATGTCAGGATCTCTGTTATGCCGAATGTTTCTTCATGTATTGAAGTGGTTGTAATGTCCAGCAAGGCTTCACAGAAAGCTTGGAGGAACTTCATGGATTAGTTTTCCATAATTCTTTTTTATAGAAGAAAGTTTTCATGCATAGTTAGAAAAGATATCCCGACACATTTTCGGATCCAGCAGACCCCTGGTTTTTCTCAAAGAGACATCCTCTTAAGTTTTAAGAATTTCCAAAGACAGGCTCATTAGCTGTTCCTAAAAATTCTAAAAAGAAAAAAAATGAAAAAAAAAAGAGGAATAAGATACCTTTTAGATTGAAGATGCACAGAAACTTCCAAGCTACCAGGCGGATATACTTTCTTGAACACATTTTTGTATTCATGATAGAATGTTTTTTACTTGGACATGAATTATCAGAATCAACTTGCCCAATATAACTACCTCAAAAATACTTTGTGCATAAAAAATCAAATGTACACCAACACTTGAATGTTTAAGTTCGTACTTTTCTTTTTTTCTTAAATCTTCTGGACGTAAGATTTATAGTTTGTTACACACCGCCTTGGATTCTGACCGGTGTTACATCCAGGTCAAGTAAAGAACCAAGTTCCTCACTTTAGATGCGAGTCACAATTGGTGTTATAAAGTGCACCTCAACTAGAATGAAACATGATCTGGATAAATTGATAGGCCACATATTTCTTCCATGGGTGGCACATCATACTTTAGTTCCTTAACCTACATAAACAACTGGTAGCTGAATTTTGAACTTGGTGAACCTAAGTGACAGAGCACGGTTTATCATTACAGTAGTATTTTCCATATATATCTGTCTATGGTTTCTGGATATATGAAGTATTGTTCTTCCCTCTACTACCTGACAGAAATCTACCATAGATTATCAGTAGGTCAAACGAATTGTTATGATATGCGATTAACATTAAACTGTCTCTTACAACCACATCCATACAGTTACAGGATTATCTCATTAATTCATTTCCTCTTCCTCGGTTTCCTTGTGATGACTGAATATGCTGTACGGTATTTGGTTCTCCATATCTTGGAGATTCTTGCTTAAGTTGCCAAGGAGAATATCGAACTTCTACTAATTTTGAAGTTTTTGACCTTGTATTGCATCTGATGAGAAAAACAGCTACTCCTACCTTTGTTATGTTGAACCTGTAACACACATTTATGCTATAGACTTATGGTTACATTGTATAGCTGAAAAATGTTGCTCCAAAAGCACATACACGTAGATCCAAATTCTCTTTACAAAGAAAATGTTGCTCTCCATAATTATCAACTCTATCCACTTAATGTTTAATTTTGTTTAGTCCATGGGAAAGCTGTATGGCGGTAATTGAAGATTGTGGAGTCAAAGTTTGATCACGTGGCTTAAATCTCCTTAAAAGGCTTCCTGATTTTCTTTAAACTTAATTGTTTCAATCACCATGCATATGGATTTGCATAGGAACTACTTCAGATGCACTTCAGCTGGCTGCCCTGTTCGGAAGCACATCGAGAGAGCCATTGATAACACGAATGGTGTAGTAATAACGTACAAGGGAGTACACGATCATGGCACACCACTTCCAAGAAAACGTGACGTTCCAAAGAGTAGTGTGGCTGGAGATAAAGAAGGTGAATTGACGGGTGAGCACCTGAAGTTCGTTGGAGATAAAGAATCAGAATCGGCAGGAACACTTGAGATGAAGCCTTGCTCAAGTCTGAGTAGTGGGACTCAATTCCCCAATTAGTTCTATTTTTGAGTTCCTTGTTCGAAACTCTTCTCTTTTTCTTTCTAATGTCAGATTAAATTGTTGTAGTTTGAGTCATTGAGGTCAATTTTACTGTCTGGTACTTCTGTATTAAAAACTATTTTTTTAATATTTTTTTTTTCTATTTTGAATTTGAAAAAAAGGCTTATTACGGTTCAGTGGTCTTTGAAAATTGTGAAATCAGGGATTCTGTTCTAAATTGAGACTGGCCTTTTCCTTTGTTTTTTTTCCCTCAATATTATAGGTAATATGCAATATTCTTTTTCTCTTCTCTACATATTTCTCTCTAATATACTAATGCAGAATGTTCCAATCGACTTTTGGTATTTTGTAATCCTATATGTTGAATTTTGTTCTTAGTCCATGTAAATGTAGATTTCCATCAGTGTCTATTAGGACCTATTAAATTATAAAATATTTGATTAATTTAAATTATAAACATATTTTAAAAGTTAAATAATTTTTGGATGTGTATCATTCTTTTATACATAATATATGAAAGTAATCATTATAGGATAAGCTTCGATTAGACATCTATATTATATAAAAAATAAATAATTAATTTGATGTAGCATCCAGAGTAGCTCAGCGGACTGGCCTAAGTAGTTAGCTCGAGGTAGGTCGGTCCAGACAAGTTCCAGCTCGCTAAGAAGAAGATAACTCAGTCAGGGAGCTCGTAGAAGCAGCTCAAGGTACTCCTCGTAGAAGTAGCTCAAGGTACTGGACAACTTGATAAAAAGACATAGAGGTAGCGACCTCCGGGAGCTCGGACACAAAAAGTGACATCGAGGGTTCAAGGTCGCAAAGTGGAGAGGTCGGGTTTCGACCTTGGCCAGGTCTCATAGCAGGGAGGCCAGGAGGTCGTGGTTAAAACTTAGGGACCTCAGGACTGTGGTGGGGACAAAATCCTAGTAGGATAGAAAGTATAGCTGGCTAAGGAGACTTGCCCGAATAGAGATGTGGTAAGCTATGAAAGATCTTGTTAGATCTTTTCCCAGCAAGGACTCTCTTGGGCATCAAAGCTTCCAGTCAATATAAGGATAACCAGGTTCTATGTTATTATGATCACACATATACGTATTAAAGTTCATATATCTCATATTCTTCTCGAACTAGTTCTGACTTGATCGTCAGAGTGTCTACGTCGGGAATAGACATGGCCAATTGTCGGGCCGATTTATGACCCGGCCTGGCTCGGCGGGTCCCCGGGCCTCAAAACTTAGGCCTGGAACTGGCCCGACTTGTATGTAAGGGCCAGTTCACTAAACCGGCCCGAACTGGCGGTTCATTGTACCGCCAGTTTTTTTAATAAAAAGAAAATAAAAAACAATGTCAAATTGTCTTTCGGCCCGGGATCGGCCTGAAACCGGCGAGTTAAAAAAAAAACACCAAGACCCGAAATCAGCCCCGTATTGCCATGGGTCCGGTTCAAGGACCATACATATGGGTCGGTTCCGGGCTGGGTTTGATCCAGTTCAGGGTCGGTTCTAGGCTGGGTTGTGGGTCTGGGTCGACCCAGACCACCTCTAGCCGGGACTCCCTCCTGGTGCATTGCAGTTTGTGGGAGCTCAGGCGGACATTCGAGGATTGATCGGTTCAACCTAATTCGTGAAAAATTGACACATCAAGATTCCGCCGTCTATGGAAATCTCTAGTCTTTTATCGGCTCTAAGGGGTTGAGCAGTTTTTTCTCACAACAAGCTTGTTAGTTCGAAGACCATGGTGGTAGACAATTCTGGAGAAATACTACCGGTGCCGCACACGACGTTGCTCCAAAGGTTAACGCATCATAGAAACCGCTGAAAGGCAAGGAAACGACAAATATCCAACACAGTGCAAAAATCCAGAAAGAATAAGGACTGATGGCAACCCAGAACATCGTGGTCGACTAAGAGGTAAATCGGAGGTAGACCGTCCTCTGGAGTAGGTCGGAGGTCTATGGCTGGGTGTTTGGATGCAAGAGGTCTCATGGGAAATCGTTCAGGTAATAACAGAAAATTACGTGGGAAAAGACCCCCTTAACAGCAAGACATGGACCGACAAGGTTAAAGTGAGGAAGTTGCAGAGGCCAAAGCCCAATCGCCGAAAGAAACCGTGACTTTCATGTTCGAGGATGCGCAGGGTGTTTCTAGACTTCAGAGAGATACCTGGTTATTATTGCAGAGGTCGCAGGCCACGAGGTACAAATGATGGTCATTGATACGGGCAGTTCGGTGGAAATTATCTTCCTGTAATACTTATGAAAAATGGGCTCGGAGGGTAGGTCGAGCCAGTTGTCGCAACCCTTTATGGGTTTAATGGAGAAGAGGTCAGAGCGGTAGGTGAGGTGTGTCTATCGGCAGTGTTATGTAGGTCATCTGTAAGGAGAGTCGAGAGTGTTAGGTTTTTAGTGGTGTATATCAGTTCGACCTACAACATCATTCTAGGGGGTCCTATTTTAAACATATTCCAAGCTGCAGTATCGACCTATTGCATGAAGGTTAAGTTCCCAATTGGGGATCAGGTCGGTGAAGTGGAGGGAGAGCAACGGGAGACCAGGTCATGCTATAAGGTGAATGCTAAAAACCTCAGAAACCCAAGGAAAGAAGAAAAATATGGAGGAAGATCAAACCAAGAGCTCCAATAGAAAGAAATATGAGAAAGTCGAGATTTCGCCGCTGGATGAGCTAATGGAAATTGAGTTGGTAGAAGGGAGGTCATAACGTGACCAAAGTGGATTGGTACCTCTCTGAAGATTTTCATGTCGAACTAATTTCTTTGTTAAGGAAGTTTGTGGATATCTTCGCATTCTCAGCGAGGTACTTGAAAGGCGTGAATCCTGGAGTTGCCGAGTGTAATGGTATTTGATATATTCAACTCAATGAGGATTACAACATATATATACAAGCCAAAGGAGATGTAAGAAAGGAAAGCAATCAAAAACCTAATCTAAGAGATTTACCAAATCACCTAATTGATACTATCTAATCTATACCATATTTACGATAACACTCCCCCTCAAGCTGGAGCATATATATCAATTATGCCCAGCTTGTTACAAATATTTTTCATTCTTACACCATTTACTGCTTTTGTAAATATGTCCCCTAACTGATCCTCAGACTTGACATATCTTGTAGTGACGAAACCTTCTTCGACCTTATCACGAACAAAGTGGCAATCTATCTCGATGTGTTTGGTCTGTTCATGAAATACAGGATTTGATGCAATGTGGTTTGCTGCTTGGTTGTCACACCAAAGTGTTGCTGGGAGAGCCAATTTAATCCAAGCTCCTTTAGTAACTGATGTATCCATAGGACCTCGCATACTGAATCAGCCATCGACCTATACTCTGCTTCGGCAACTGAACGAGAAACAACATTATGCTTCTTGCTTCTCCATGAAACTAGATTGCCTCCCACAAATATACAGTATCCAGAAGTCGATCTTCTATCATCGTTGCAGCCTGCATAGTCGGCATCACAATATGCTTCTACTGCCTTAGCTTTTTTGATAACTCTGTCGCCCATAGAACAATCCCCGTCCAGGAGCCCCCTTCAAGTAGCACAAAATTTGTTCAAGTAGTGCCCAATGACTAACGGTCGGAGATGACATAAATCGACTTGCTACACCAACTGCAAAGGATATATCAGGGCGTGTTACGGTAAGATAGTTTAGCTTTCCTACGAGACTTCGATATCGTTCTGGATCATTAAATGGCTCACCATCATCCTTTTCTAACTGCATGTTTGGTGTCATCGGAGTGCTACATGGTTTTGCCCCAACTTTTCCAGTTTCTTTAAGAAGATCTAGCACATACTTCCTCTGACAAAGGAAAATCCCTCTCTTACTTCTCATTATCTCTACTCCCAGAAAGTATTTCAAGTGTCCCAAGTCCTTTGTTTGGAAATTCTCATGGAGGAATGATTTTAGGTTTGAAATCCCATCATTATCATTCCCTGTAATAACAATATCATCGACATACACAACCAATAAAATGATCCCAAGACTTGATCGTCTATAGAATATCGAGTGATCGGATTTACATCTCACTAACCCATATTTCAAAACAATCTGGCTAAATCTGTCGAACCAAGCTCGGGGACTTTGCTTCAACCCATATAAAGATTTATGAAGACGACATACCTTCCCATACTCCCCCTGAGCAACAAAACCAAGTGGTTGCTCCATATAAACCTCTTCCTGAAGAAAGCCATGGAGAAACGCATTTGGTGCAGAGACCAGTCAGAAGAGGCAGGAAGAGAGATGAGCAACCGAACAGAGGTAAGTTTGGCCACGGGAGAGAAAGTCTCAGAGTAATCGGTGCCATAAGTCTGAGCATAGCCTTTAGCCACAAGCCGAGCTTTAAGACGTGCCAAAGAGCCATCAGGATTAACTTTAACAGTGAAGACCCACTTACATCCAATTGCCTTTTTGCCAATAGGTAAGTCCACTAAAGACCATGTGCCATTATGATCAAGGGCATTCATTTCCTCAATAATAGCAGCACGCCATCCAGGATGAGCCAAAGCAGTGCCAACAGATGTAGGAATAGAAATAGAGTCTAACTTGGCAATAAAAGAACTTGAAGAAGCAGACAGGTTGTCATAAGACACAACAGAAGCAATAGGGTAAGTGCAAGATCTTTTACCTTTGCGAAGCGCAATAAGAAGGTCATCAGGGATATTTAGTTCGGGGACAGGGTCTTCCACCGGAGCAGCAGGCAAAGGACGTGAATCAGAATCTATGATGACCTCGCGATGTGATTGAGAATGTCGAGTATATGTCTGTGTAATGGGTGGCTCGAGTTATCTGAGGCGGAGGGGAAGGAGGCCTAATGAGAGTAACATAATATACCAAGAAGTCGTCTTCCTCTGGAGATGGAAGCTCTCGGGTAGAAAAAAAATGGAAGGTGTTCATTAAAACTATCATCCCTAGACACGACATACCGACCAAGGACAGGAGAGAAACACCGATACCCTTTCTGCACCCTGGAATACCCAAGAGAAATACACTTGAGAGACTTAGGATCTAACTTAGTGATATGAGGTCGTGCATCCCGGACAAAACAAGTGCACCCAAAAATTTTAGGCGGTATAGGAAAAATAGGTTTATCTGGGAAAAGAACTGAAAATGGAATTGAATTACCCAAGACAGCCGAGGGCATTCGATTAATTAAAAAACAAGCAGTGGACACAGCATCAACCCAAAAAGTTTTAGGAACATGCATGTGAAAAAGTAATGCTCGAGCAACCTCGAGGAGGTGTCGATTTTTCCGTTCAAC